TTTGGCAAGGTCTAAGAATTAAATGCATTCCTCGCACGAAACGGTGATTATCGACTTAAGAATATCATGTGCAAATGGCATTTCCATTTTAATTTGAATTTAATGTCTACCCTTCTTTAAATTGCAAAAAAATTAGGTCGATTCCCCTCATTTTTCCAACAAAATGATAGCTATCGTTCCACAGCCCGGCAATCGAAAATATATTTTTTGTGGTCATAGGACAGTTAATATTTTGTATATTATAAATTGCCGCTCACTTAACCTTCGAACCGAGTGAATGGGAGATTGATGAATTTACACTCTGCCCTTTGCCAAGGAAATTATCTATATTTTAAATTTTGATTGGTTAACGGTTGTATTGTGTTTTAATTTAAAAAAAAAAATCTGATTTCGATCACGACTCGCCATTAAGCACATTGATGGATTCACATCAGTTCCGATAAAACGCATAGTAAAACAATGTCATTCCAAAGTGTGCAACACATTTAGTTTTTTTTTAATATTAGCAATACTTCGAACGAACTGGTACATTACTATTTGTAGGGAAAGTTTTTTACAATGTAGGGCACGAAAGTTTTTGCTGTAATTAATGAGCAGATAATTAGTATTGTGTAATCAAACAGGGTTTTCAAATTTCTTAGTCATTGGTTAGGAAAAATTTACTATGTTTCGAAATGAACCCGTTAATGAGGTTATTGTTTATTTAGTTAGTTGTTAAGTTAAACAGCTATATATTATGCACATTTACATTTTTTTATGTCATTGAAATGTAAAATCCTTAAAGATCTGTAAAATCTCTCCCTCCCTCTCCCCCTCCCCCCCTTTGTTCTTTCCTTGTACTATTTATTCCTTTCTTTTTATTATTATAAGTTTTTTTCACTTACCTACTCATTTTAATCATCCTCCATTTCATTTTTGTATTGCTACGTCGTCCTTTTCTTAAATGTAACATTTTTTATTGGGGCGTCGGTATACGCAACGGTTTAGCCGTTGACACGGCACTCATCACTGTAAGGTAAAGGTCCAGGGTTCGAATGCAGGGCCGCTGGATGGAACACCGGCACCCCGAGGGTTTGTATAACCTCTGCTGTAGCGAACCCTCGTTAAAAAAAAGAAGAATAAAAATCATTTTTTATTACTTTATCGCATTCTTTTATCCAAAAATTATGAGATCTCCAAATTAGGGAATACTGTGTGGTGATTAGTGACCGTTAATCGATAATTATTAAGAAATCGTGAGATGCGGTCTGGTGTGATGTAGGTTTCAGAAAAACATTTTCTTTATCGTGCCAACGTTTCGATCTTTATTGAGATCATCTTCAGGGCTCAAAGTGTTTGTCATCTCACGATTTCTGAATAATTAGGGAATACTGAAAGCAAATCAATCATCAATCTTTATCTCATTGTTTCAAACAGTGATTAATATAATACGATTGAAGGAATTTTTTTCATCAAACTTACTTTATTCGTACGTCGGTACTTTTTTGTTTCAACTTGCAATGTGAACTGGATACTTTGATTTAAATCGTGTCATTCGGTTATATTCGACATCGTCATTCTTGTCGGATATCCGGTTTTAATTGTTGTATGGAAAGTGTTGGTAAAATATTTACTCTTTCCGCATCTTTACTACAAGAAGCTTTCCAAGATTTCACCCGCATGGCTGTATGCAAATGCTGAAACTTGATTAAGGATTTACAACGTAAATCTTTAACTGTTTGTTGCATCGATTTCTCCACATTAAAAACAGTAATGTTTTTTGACAATTTATGATATGTTTACCCGAAGTATTTCATTTTTGTTTCCTGGCATTTGTGTGTGTGTGTGTGCGTGCGTGCGTGCGTGTGTGTGTGTGTGTGTGTGTGTTTATATATATATATATATATATATNAAGTTATAATGGTTAATATACGCATAAACATTAAGAACAGATAATTCGATGTAACCAAGGTATTTGTGTATATTTTTATTTATAGGACAATTATAATAGTTTTTGTAGGTTTTGTTTATTTACAATGTACTACAACAAAATTAATACTTGCCATCTTTATTTTCTGTTACAATTAATTAAGGTTTTTAGTTGAGATAAAAAAGCCAATGGGATTCGAACCCACGATCTTCGGCTAGATAAGCCGCTGCTCTACCACTTGAGCTATCGTGACCTCGATCCACTCGGACACCAACTTCCCATCTCAATTACACCTTTTGAATTTTCCCTCCTTTTTGCAATTAGTGAATTTATTTTCTGTGCGTAATTATGTTCCATGTAACCGATTTGTTTCATTTTATTCACCTTTCTACATGTCATTGATTTTGTAATATGACAAAGGCTGAAAAACTAAAAAGGATTTAATTCATTTTTATTTAAAGAGGCTCACCTGGATCGGTTGTCCGCACTTGCTAACTAAAATGTTCTTGTTTTTATCCTTAGTTCCGCTGTTTTTCAATCTTAAATTACTTTACAGATGTATAAAAATCGACAAATAAAAAATAAAACATTAAGGTTGACAAAGTCAGTTAATTTATCCGTTTGAGTTAACCTTTTACACTAACAATACTACACAATGGTGACTCTTTTTCTTAAAGGTTCCAAATATCGAAAAAGTTTCAAACATAAAGCTAATTTTAAGCAAGACTCGAAGAAATCTTAAGAAAATCTTACCTTTAACGTTTATAAAAAAAAGTTTTTAAAAACTACGTGATGACATTGTAGAAAAAAGTGTGTGGAGAATGTAACTCTACTCATATCTCTGTATACATGTATATATATACTATATATACATACACACTCCAACATCAAATGAATAACTTCGAAAAAAGTGAGTCCAGTTGTTCTTCGGATGAGTAGATTTACATTCTCCACACACTTTTTTTTACAATGTCATCACGTAGTTTTTAAAAACTTTTTTTTATAAGCGTTAAAGGTAAGCTTTTTGTAAATCGTATTGTACACACAATTTTCGTAAGAAATTTAACCGATAGAAGATAAACGCGACAGGTAGTTTTCCCGACTTGAGACTATTTTTTAATGGGATGTTTAAAGAGCATAAATTTTATGCCTGTGTCCACAAGAAGAGCTCAAGTCAAGGATTTTGTCAAGACCTCGATCCTTCTGCGTAACTCTACTTATATCTATGTATATATATGTATATACTATATATACATACACACTCCAACATCAAAAATAACTTCGAAAAATTGGGTCCAGTTGTTCTTCGGATGAGTAAAGTTACATTCTCCACACACTTTTTTCTACAATGTCATCACGTAGTTTTTAAAAACTCCACCCACTTGTATAGTTAATTGTTAATAAATAGCCAAATGTGAGAATTTATGCTTATAAACCGTGACACTCGCTTTCTAATCGGAATGGTTGTAATTCACTGCAGATAGCCGGAAGTTTGTTTCGTCGGCGTTCGTTTCTACACGCCCATTCAATTATTTGTGTTGCCAATGCTGGTCACTCGGTTGGCCGAGACATTCTTTTTGAAGAAGCCAAACCGTGAAAAACACAGCTTTAAAAACAAGTCGTATTCCAAGCTCCAATCGAAATGCCAATTCGTCCTTGGCCTTTGAAGATGAGCCGGAATTAAGTGGGAAAAATAAAACAAATCTTACACATTTGTTTTTTATTCGGTCTTACCTTTTCGAAACCGAGCGTTGTGTTTCTGTGATTAATAATTCTTGAAGTTCTGCCTTATAAATTACATATGCATTACTATAATTAATATAATTTTATTAACTTATGAGGATTTAACCTTTTATTTGGTAAGGCACAATGTTACCCATCTCGCAGTCGATCTGTGAATTAGCGGGATCTTTTCCTAACCTTTACACGTCCTTGTCTATGTGCAGTTTTAGTGATTAATTCACATCTCGAACGTTTATTTTTATCCCAATTACGCCTATTTGCAAGTATGATCGCGGTAATTTTCTTCAAACGCCCATACATCACATCACGTTTCACCGAATACTCCTTACAATTGAGAATCGATTTCTTCCAGCCTTGGTAACAAGATCATCCTTATCCTTGTTCACCATTCTCCACATGCCAGGGAGCGTACAATCGGTATTGGGTATGCTCGGCCGTATCAATAGAAACTCGTAAAGCAATGGCGCCATATTAGGTCATCATTAACCGGGATGAACGAATCGAATTACAAAAGATTAAAATTAATCGCGTCATGTATGAAGATTGGCTTGCCCTCTGATCATCCGTGGATTACGAAATAACTAAAGTCTGAAAATAAACCGGTTCCACTAGATTAATTCTCAGTTGTTGATTTCATTGAAAATTCTTCTTTTAAAAATGAAAAACATGTTTTCCAAGTATAAACAATCAGAACAATATTTACAGAGGTTTTAGTAAACACATTAAACGACAAGAAATATAAACATAGTATAAAGCATACTCAATAAATTTATACTGACAGGGCCATTTATTTTATTCATTTATTTTATAGTGAACTGTATCAAAATAATAAATTGGTTATTCCTTTTTTTACGTAGAATCCTATATTTTGTTCGAAATCACGTTCATATGTTTCATAAAGTAACGTTTTATTTTCAAATGAGCAGAGGTTTTTCTCTCGATTCTAAAAACATACTAAAATTATGAAAATCTATGAAAGAGAAAGAGAGCATTGAGTGAGCGAAAAAATTAGTCCAGTGTGTCCTGAGACATTCTCAAAGTCCACAAATTGAAAAAATGAAATTCCTCAAGAACTAATCGATTGATTTTTCATAATTTTATTGTTGCTGTTTTTAGAGTGGAGAGCTTTTTGGAATGAACCAGAAAAAAGTAGGTACCTCTCTTTATTTGAAAATATCTTAATTATAATCAAATTTGGACAGTACCATTGGATTCTAGGTAAAGGTCTCTCTTAGAAACATATGCATTTCCCTAAACATTCCTTCAAAAATAATAGTACTCACCCAATATTTAGACTTATTTGGATCAGGGATTTTTATATTTATTCTAGGGGAAAAAAATAAACTAGTTAAAACAAGTAACCGTATAACTAAAGTCTTATTATTCTACATTTACATATTACATTTAAATTTATAAAACAGTTTCTTACAGAGCAATATTAAGAAAATCCTACTTATTTATTCCTAAACATATTTTTTAAAAAATTTAAAACACCATCTTCGCAAAAAAAGAAAAACAGATAAATTAAGTCGTTCATCGCACAATCTACCAGTGTTCTTTCAAGCGGAATGCACTATCCGGTTAAAAGTCGATCAGTGGAAGAAAAAAATAAATCAGCGTTTCAGAAATATGTTGTCGATGACCTCCTTCGTCACCACTCTGTGCGGCCTCGTCGGGTTGACTTTGGGCCTCCTGTAAAGCCGGGCGTTGATGTGGTAGAGCTCTTTTGACATGTCGCATCGCACGTTGAACCACCAGTCGCAGATGAAAAACGCCTGGGAGAACTGCGTACCGTTCGGGCAGAGGAACGTAGCCTGGCGGCCGTCGATGTCGCAGTAGTGCCACGCTTGGCATCGCGTGTCTGTGTCGGCGAAGAAGCCGGGGTACTCCTGCTCGTCGCAGTAGAAGTCGGTGTATGGCACCATCCCAAGCACTGGGTAGTCCGTTCCTGGCCGACCTGTCGACATATGAAACATTACTGTATGTGTAAACCAAGACATAGATCTGGGAACGAAGAAAGTACCATAAAATGTGTACTTATTTCGTTTCTATGTGTATTTTATAATTCCTTTAGGATCCCTAAACGAATGAACAAAAAAAATTGTAAAAATGTTATTATTAAATAATTATGATACCATATTTCAAGAATCACATACAGACTATAAAAGTTGTACCAATTCTAAGGAAAGGAAACGACATGACTCTGACCATTGTAAATTCTTTTAGTTTCTTGGAGATTACATTGTTTTTTAAGGGGCCTAAATGGCAAAAGGGTTTCTCGAAACTCCGAAATTAAGCTCTAAACTCCGAAGCATGTATACCAGGACAACATGAAATAACAAGGATGTCTATACATATATATAAAATGGAAGGTTTATGGGCCGACGAACAGCTGAGGTCATCGCCGGCCCTCCGCGTGTATTCCTTCTCTTTCCGGTCTTTCTCGAGTATTTTGTATTGAACTGCAGCCATTTGAGCATCTCGATCTGGTTAATGACTCTCTGCTTTTACTTGTATATTACGTCGTTATTTTAAAATGCTAGCCTCTTGTTAGTACCTCAGGTTGTCAATTTAAGAATAGATGCATAACATATATATCGCCACAAACATAGAAGTCTGGTCACATTCACTCCCCAAGAGTATTCGATATTCCTCGGGGCGGGGCCGAACCCACTCCATTCGCGCTAATAACTTACTTTTACTCTCCAGACGTCACACACTCACCCCAGAGTACTCGATATTCCTCGGGGCGGGGAAAATAACCCCTTCTTTTCACGCTAATAAATTACATTCATCCTAATATATTAACATAAACACCACACAAACACTTCAGACACAACACAAGCACAGCACAAACACACAAAAACTATATACATTTGAAAATCCCTATAGCCCTGAGGTACCGGTACATCGATTTGTGCCCGCTGCCGTGCCCCAAGACTACGCACAGGTCCGATGATATTCCAAAATATTCCCTATAAAGTTCGAGCCTTCTACAATTAGAAAAGGTGCTCAACTGTTACTCTATCCTTGCATAATAGGCATCTATGCGGTCGCTTTCCTGCTAGAAGGTGCCCGTGCGTAATTCTTGTATCACCTATGCGTAGTCTTGTCAGTATGACCTTTTCCCTTTTTGACCCATTTTCCGTGAACCAGGGACCGACGTCATTCTTAGCCTGCCACAGTTTGGCAGGGTTATTTCTATTTTTCCAAGCCCAGCGGTTTTTCCATTCTTCTTTTGACAACAAGGATGTCTAATATAACAACTTTAATTAACGTTAAATTATCTTTTTCTTTGCATGTCCTCCCCACTAAAGGTCCCTAACAATCCCCCTTGAGATTTTCACGTTTTTCCTTGAAGCACGTTTTGCCATGGCGGCACCGTGATTATGATAACGACGACGTAAAGAACAGGTGGTTAAAGTATCTGTTGTATTATTCCTGTTATTTTCAGAAATATTTTCATTGGCTCACCGAATTGATCATATTTATGAGGCGTTTAATTTTTGCCGACGATAGCAGATGGATATTGAGTTATTATTATCGAAGATTTTGAGCATGTGTATGTTGATACTGATGGCATCCATTACCAAATGAAATGTGTTTTGGTAAAAAATATTCGAGTAGAAATTATAAATTGTCAGAAATGTCACATTTTTTTTTTTTTTTTTTTTTTTTTTTTTTTACTTCACCAAATTGAACTTACTCAATTCAAAACATGTATACAAGGAAAAGCAAGGAAAAAGCTGATTCAGTCACCACAAATAAGCAAATTGCATGAGGATTAAACATTTTGGGCTTAAAACAATAAAATCAGACACCCATTCTTACAAATATTGAGAAATGAGGAACTGGCTATACGATGCCGGAAACATTCCTTGCGTCTATACAATTTTTACAGATTATAAAGCTTGTGAAAATTAAATACAGCTCAAAAACAAATGAAGTAAAGAGATATATTTTGTGCATGCCCAAAACAGCAGCAATCAAACTTTTTAGGGCACCTCAGTCTTTCAAAAACATATTTCAAAAAAATACAGCCAAACCGCCCGAAAAGCATTAGCACATAAAAAGGTCGCATCCAAAATCTTCAAAACTTGTGAAAGCACAAAATCCTGACAATATCTTGGGTTTCAGTTCACAAAAGAATTCTGGGTAATGGACAAGCAGACAAATTGACCAGAGGAGGTTAAAGAATCCTCACCAAAATTGGAAATTTTCATGAGTCGACATAACTCTAATTCTACTGTTAGACAGGGTAAAACTCATGGGAGTGATAGGACATCACACCGGTCACTGGCACCTGAGAAAACACCTTAGGTATTATTCAATGGAGGAGGAAAAAACTGGCACTCATATTACCTTCGAAAATGCGAAGCAACCGTTCAGTGAAGAATCTATGACATCAAGAAGACCCAGGGAAAAGAATTGCAGCAATGACGGTCAATAACTTTTTACTTCTTAAAAGAAGGACCTAGTCAATTGAACTGAACTAAGGACTAGGAAAAGTACAAGCCAGAAAGATGTAGTGCTTGGAGAATACTAAACCCCCGCCAACCAGCATACCCCTATCATCTTGGAGCTCGCATAGTGATGGAACAGTGATATAATAACAATGATTTCACGCCCTGGGATATGTGTTATATTATTCGTACGTTATTACAGGAATATTTTTTACTGACTACTCGGCGAGTTGTAACAGTCGTGTTATGCATAATGCATTAAAACCTTTGAAACTATTCGGTTGTCCGGAAAATAATGCAGGATTTTAAGTTTTCATTAAAAAAAATCTATATAAAATATTCTGTTTACGTTTACAGGATTACTCATTTGTATGATGATATTGTTTGTTTACCTCTGTAGCATTCCGCTACTTGGAAATAATTCAGTCATCCTTATAATGTCAAAGCGAGAATTTCGTACGATTTTCTTTTACGAGTTTAAACTCGGCCGAAGCGGAGCCCAAACGGCTAGAAACATCAAGTCTGGGGCGAGGGTTGTGTTAATGAGTGCACTGTGCAAAGGTGGTTTAAAAAATTTCGGGAGGGAGATTTCAGCCTTGAAGATGAAGAAGGTCGTGGAAGGCCTTCCTCTCTTAATGATGATGTTCTGCGATCAGTGGTGGAAGAAAACCCCAAAACAACTGTTCGAGAACTTGCAGAGCAACTCAAAGTCAGTAAAACGACCGTCGCTGACCACCTCAAGGCGATTGGAAAAGTGAAAAAACTCGAAAATTGGGTTCCACACTCATTAAACGATCGCCAAAAAATCAGCGCTTTGATGTTTGTGCATCACTTCTTTGTCGAAACAAAAATGACCCATTTCTGGCCAGAATTGTTACATGTGACGAAAAGTGGATTCTCTACGATAACACTAGACGTTCTGGACAGTGGCTCGACAAAGGAGAAGCTCCAAAGCCCCCAACTCATCAAAAAAAGGTAATGGTTACGGTATGGTGGGCTTCATTTGGTTTAATACACTACAGCTTCTTAAATCCTGGCGAAACCATCAATGCTGAATCATACTGTAACCAAATTAATACCATGCATCAGAAATTGGCAGTAATGAAGCCCTCTTTGGTCAATCGGAAAGGGCCCATTTTGTTGCATGACAACGCTCGACCACATGTGTCACGTGTAACGTCACAAAAATTATTGGAGCTTGGCTATGAAACTTTGCCTCACCCACCCTACTCTCCGGACCTCTCGCCTACTGACTACCATTTTTTTAGACACCTGGACCACTACTTACAACACATAATATTCAAAAATCAAACGGAACTGGAAAATGCATTTATTGACTTTATCAATTCTAAAAATTCTGAATTCTACTCAGACGGAATTAATAAGTTACCAACACGTTGGGAGAAATGTATTGAGAGTATGGGAAATTATTTTGATTAAAGAACATTGCTTTAAAGTAACTAGTTTCTTTTTTTTTGTTTAATACCAAAATCCTGCATTATTTTCCGGACAACCCAATAGTTTTCTTGAGTAAACGTTCTAAATGAACCTAAATATTTCGATGTAATAGAGTTCATGAAAGTAATAGTTTCATCATAATGATTAAGTACTAAGTGGTTAAACCATGGCAAGCGAGATATTTGATTATTTATATTAATCTTCCGTTTACTACCTGATTTTGGATGAAAATAATTTAATCTATTTTATAAACTTCTGTCGATTTTTTCCTACAATCTGATATATCAAATATTGAAGCACATATAGTCCATGAATATTGGTAATAATTATTATAAGATTTTTACAAGTTTCTTTAGTTATTGCAGAATTGTGATATTTCAGTTGTTCAGTTTTTCGAATCATAGGTTAGGGTTTAAGATTTATTTCCATGATGGTATCAAACAGATTTAATTTTGTCGGTTACGACTGGCCGAAATGCCGATCGACGAAGATTATAGATACGGAAACAGGTTGAATAAAGGTTCTACAGCACGTTCCAAAAACTGTGATCTTCCAATTGTCGAACTTTCACTCCCGGGTGAATCCGTCCGTAATCGTTTAGCGCCTCCTATTTTACGTAATAGGCGGCGACCAGTTTTCTAAAAACAGGGCCGATGGCCGTTTCGAATCCTGTTTACACATTCGGTAAGGGGATCAATTTCAACAAAGTCGGGGGTGGGGCGATCTTGAAAAGGATATTTTTAACTCTACGATTCAAACTATCGCCGTTTTCCCACATTAGTGCTCACGCGAGTCAATGTATCTCGTATGATGTCCTCTAATCTTTCCCACGTTTTACAACGCCAATAAAAAAAAATTCCCTTACCCCAATGTTGTAATCTGCAGAACCGTGTCGCATATTTTCATCAGGCCAGGGCTTTCGTATGCATAATGATCGAACGATAAACCAACGTACGAACTAAGAAAGACCATCAATAAATAATAAAGAAGCTTAAAATATTGTTTATTATTGCAAGATAGAAGATAAACACGAAGA